CCTAAACTTGTGACTTTGTGAGGTTTACACATAATAAATCTAATCGAATCTGATTACGACAAGGCACCAAATACTTTATAGCTCGAAATATAATAAAAAGATTATACATTTAGCTTCTCATCCAATAGAAAAATGCCACGTATCATTTCACTTCTTAGCTAAACAATCTCTCTGGCTCCATATAACGATCAAAGACTTTTTCATACCAGAAAGGAAGAAATATCAAAACTCTTTTTTTTTTTTTTTCAGAAATCGAATCCAAAAAATGGGTAACGCGATTAGGTTACTCTACCGGAAATGCATCAATCCCACGACTTACGACGGATCTCACGGCGTTTCAGCTCTCTCCGGCGATCTCTACAACTTTGAGACCACTTCTCAGGTCTTTCTTCATTTGCTTTCTCCTAAATTTACATTTCTTTTGCTTATTACTAGTCTTCAAATCTGGTCATGAAACTTATCTCTAAGTAAATTGTGTGTGTCTTAAGCAGAATCAATACCAATCATAATTGTGTAATTGATCATAATCTAGATTTCTTTATATTCAAGGTTCCTGAAAAGCTTGGAAGTTACGTTGTCTCTTCTAAGAGGGCTCAAGCAAACTGGTAAAGACAACAATACTCATATTGTTACATCTTTCTTTTCTTGTCGTCTTAAAGATTTGAAAATTTTCAGATTTTAATTAATTTGTCTTTTTCTTTTCCAAAACATGTTTTAAGGTATGGAAAAATACTTGAGGCATGGAAGCAAGCTGAGCCTCGGCCTCAGACCGATGAGGAAGCCGCAAGGCTTGTTATCGTGACTCTAAAGGGTCATAAAAAGGCCGATGTTGAGGTATTATTAGTGTTTCGAGTTGCGAAAAAATGTTAACAAGTTTGAGAAAAATTGTTAATCTGGTTTGATTTGTTAATGACATTTTTGTTAGGGACTTTTGTCTTTCTATGGACTCCCTTCGCCTCATAAGCTCGATGAGGTCTCTAATGGATCTCCTTCTCCTGTGTCTGTACCTGAAGGAGTCCGATTCGAGCTCCATACGCTTCCGGTTAGAAAAATTATTAATGTTTTCAAAATGTTATAGTTTATTGATATGAAAAAATGTTGCTGATGATTAAGAAATGTTCTAATTGAAATAAGGTGGATACAAAATCTGTGGCAGATGGGGATACAGTTACTGTGTATGTTAGTAGCAAGGACCCGATTGTGTCATCTTCTGTTCCTAAGGAAGTAAAACTTGCAGTGGCTAAAAGAGCCAAAGCGCGTGAGAAGAAGAATTATACAGAAGCAGATGCACTTCACAAGACGATCATAGCTTCTGGTTACAGGTTTGTGTGAGCTAAATCAAATTGAGCTATAACATTCACAATTCTAACCCTTATTTTATATTTTCATTAGGATGATAAATTTTCAAAATGATGAAGTGCTTGGTAAAAAGTTCAGAATTAGACTAAGGTAAAAGCACACTCATCTTTAAATCTCTTGAAATCAAAGCTATATTGGAGTTTTTCAAGAACCTTTTGGTAATGAAATGAAAACAGGGGAATTGATTCACCGGAAAGTAAAATGCCGTTTGGAAAGGAAGCGCACGATGAGCTGCTTAAGATGGTTGAAGGAAAAACCTTGAAGGTGTTAGTTTACACAGAGGATCGTTATGGAAGATGTGTAGGAGATATATATTGCAATGGGAAATTTGTACAAGAAGTAATGTTAAAGAAAGGTCTTGCTTGGCATTATGTAGCCTACGATAAGCGCGCAGAGCTTGCAAAGGCAAGATTTTGTTTTTTTTGTAAATCTTGAAGTCTCTTTAGTTTCTTGGATTAGTGTTTCTGATGTTTAACGGTTTTTTTTGGTGTTTGAGATCAGTGGGAAAATGAGGCTAGGCAGAAGCGTATTGGCTTATGGTCATCTTCGAATCCAGAGAAGCCATGGGAATGGAGAAAGAACAAACGTGGAGGCAATTGATAAATCTATGTCTTATTGGATAACAAAGAGTTATTATTCGATTATGATTATTGTGATTTGTAAAACATGTGATCTATTGTTGTAATTATAAGAGCTCTCTGTAATTGTTATATGTATTGATAAGTTATAGTGCAATAAAGAATCTCTCTTTGGACCTGGAAATAGCAGCTTGCTTAGTTGTTTTGTTACTAAATATAAAGAATTAGTTTATTTTTGGGTTTAACAATCTAAGGTTGAGAATGCAACTCTGATTTCACAACCTTAGAAAGTAAAAAAAAAAAAACTAATCCTGCAATTACAAATTTGTAATCCAATTCATATATTGCTAAAAAGAAATGTGAAAATGTGTTTTTGATAATTCTTCATCATAAGGAGGATTATCAAGGGCACTAAAGCAAGAGCCTTCCATAACCTTTTGCAATCTTCTTCTTCTTGAGTTTTTACAATATAGAATCAATGCCAAAGAATAAGAAAACAGAATGGCAATTAGGAGATCCCGCGATAAGCGTAGTGAGCGATCAATTCTGTAATCCATACCCAATGGATCTAATGGTGAAGAGAAAATTTCAAAATTTCTCAAAAGATAATTACCAAGTGTATGATCCAAGTGGGAATCTCCTCCTTCAAATTGATGGACAAGCTTGGGGGTTTAACCATAAAAGGGTTATGCGTGATCCAGCGGGTTTCACAATCCTCACAATGCGCCAAAAGGTTACCAAAGATTCATATCTTTTTAAACCGCCATTGACACAAGACTCTATCTTGAGATTGTGTATGTATGTGTTTGTATATGCAGGGGCTTACGTTGAAGAACAAGTGGGAAGTGCATGGAGGAGAGAGCAAAGAGAGAGAAGATTTGCTCTTTACGGTACAACAATCTCAAGCAGTGTCATTGAAAACATCTGTGGATGTTTTCTTGGCTGAGAATAACAATGTCAAGAAGAGCAATACTTGTGATTTTCATGCTTCGGGCGGATATTCGAATATTTCATTCAAAGTTTTCAAATCGGATGCTCTCATCGCCGGGGTAGGGGTAAAAATAATTTCAAACACATTCATATGATCATATAAACAACATTTCTCTACTAATAATACTTTGGTGAATTTGAGTTTTTTTTTCTTTCTTTTTGGGGTGGATTGATTTGCAGGTTACGCATAAGTTTACATGGGGAAGTTTCTGCAAAGGGAAATATAATTTTAGAGTGAGTGTGAATCCAGAGGTTGATTATGCTTTTATCATTGCTTTGCTTGTTATGGTCGATGACAATGAGAATTGGTGTTAAGAGTGTATTGTCCTCAAATGTCTTTCTTTTGATTCCTTTCACATTATTTATCAATGTGTGTAATAATGTTTTCATTTCTCAAGATATGTACCAACTTTTTCCATGTTAAATTCAAAAGTGAAACATTTCAACATTTAACATAACTAAAAAATATGCTTCACAAGAAAGAAACCACACTCACACTTTTATTAAATGTAAACGTAAAAACAAGTGCAAACAAATGATGGAGGCGTAAATCTCTCGATTCATCAAATCTTTCAAAGAAGAAGCAAATCTCCAAAGACTCGAGAAGTTCCGATAAATGAAGTGACAAGACACAGAGAACAAATGTAGTATCAAACAAACCAATGTTGACCAAACCTTATAAGAAAGCTTAAAAAGACTCGAAACCAGACACAATAGCGAACAGAGTGATGATACAAACCGGCAATAGTTAATAAGCAAAGCTCTGGATAAAGATGTTTAGGTAAGGTCATCCTCCTCAAGCTCCTTGGCCTTCAGCTTCTCCTTCACCCTCAATAACATAGTTGTTTTCCATGAATCCTGCAACAATACCAATTCCATAATTAAGATCAAACAAAAGTAAAAGATAATATTATTCAGACTTTTTGTATGCGGTCTATGGTCCGTACCAGCGCCGTCATGCTATCAAATTCCTTCACAACGTCTGTGAACTTTGCAATGTCTTCTTCATCGATAGCAGCAGCAAGGTCCTGTTCATGAGAATAAACGTACTAAACTTAACATGTTGTACGTAAGCTACTCTCTTAATCTCTAAAAAACTGCAGTTTAAACTTACCGCTAAGAACTTGCATTCCCGTGTCCCTGAAAAAGTCGGATCCAGATCCTGCAGAAAAGTAGA